GCGGCGCGGGCGGCCGCCCCGGCGGGGGCCGAAGCTCCCCGAGCTGGGGCCACCCGCGAGCTCCTGGACAGGCTGGAGAACGGAGGCGGGGCTTGGGAGGGCGCGCCGGAACCGCTGCTGGCGGCGATGGCCGCCGCGCGCGCTGCGCTGGCGGCCGCTGCGCCGCCGGGGCCCTGGCCCGACCTGGACGCCGTTCTCGGCGACGCGCGGGGTGCCCAGAGGGACTGGCGCGACTTCCACGATGAGAGGAGCAGGAGGAGGGGAACCCCGAGGAAGACGCCCTCCTCGGAGAACTCGACAGAGCGGAGGCGGACGAGGAGGCCCTCGTCCAGGATGCTCGCCGCCTGCAGGGGGCTCGCCGGGAGGCTGCCGCGGCCCGCCGGCCGGCCGCGGGCCGGCCGCCTGCCCAGGTTCCGGGCGCTGGCAGCCCTGCACGAAGCCGCAGCCGCTGAAACGGCGCTGCGGCTACGCCGTCGTCCGCGTCGGCGAGGCCAGCCACCCGGGCCGGGGCCGCCGGCGGGGGGCGCGCTGCCCTGCCCAGAGTGCCAGGCGCCGCTGCGCGCAGTGCGGGCCCTGCGCCGCGAGACCTGCGCTGTTTGTCGCGGGGGCGCGCCTGGCGGCTGGCTCCAGCATTGCGAGGACTGCGACCAGCTCCCCTGCCGGGGCTGCGCCGAGGCCGCCGCCGCCGCGCGCTGCCGCCGCGGCGCCGCCTGCCGGCGCGGGGGCCGATGCCGCTGGCGCCGCGCAGGGCGCCGGCGCTGCCGCCCCCGCGGCCGCCCCCGCAGCGGCGGCCGCCCCCGCCGGGCCCGCCGCCCCCGTCGGCCCTGTCGCCGCCGCTCCAAGACATGGAGGCGGCGTCCATGAGCGGGCTCGACGATTTGGACCTGCTGGACGAGCTGGCTGCGGACTGCCCCGCGCTCCGCGACGTGCTCGGCGGCGCGCGGGCCGCGGCCGCGCGGGCCGCGGGGGCCCTCTGAAAGAGGGCGGTGCTGCGCGCGCTGCGCGGCAGCCTCCTGGCGGAGGAGAGGGCCTGGAAGATGCAGTTGCTCCGCGAGGAGCTCCTCCTCTTGGCCCCGCTGAACCGTCGAAGAGGGGCGCTGGCGGCTGGCGCCAGCCTGGGAACGAACTGGCGTTCTCAGCTCCAGAGGCGCCTGGGGGGAGCTATTGGAGGAGGCGCGGCAGACCGCCCAGGGCCTGGCGCGCGCGCGCAGAGGGCGCTGCCGCCGCGTGGCGCCTCGCCGATTCGGTCGTCCGGAAGTCGCTGGCCGAGGAGCACTTCGGGGCAGCTGCGCTCCCTGCCAGCCCGGGGCTGGCGCTTCTGACGCCCGAGACGGCTGCCGCGCTCCAAGAAGTGCTCGAGCCGCGCGGCGCGTTTGCCCTCGAGCCCGTGCCGCGAGGCGCTCCCGCCGCAGCCTCGCCCCTCTCCCGTAAGGAATTGCGAAGAGCCTTCGGGCGGGGCCCGAGAGGGGGCGGGGCCGGGCCCGGGTTCGCCTCCGTCGGCGCCCGGGCAGTGTGCGCCAGCAGCTCGTCGCCTGCCTTCGTGCCGACAGCGAACTGGTGCTGGCCCAGCACTTCCGCGAGTTCCTCCTTCCGCGGCGTCGCCAGCGCCCCCCCCGCCAGGCGGCGGAGGACGTTCGGCGCGGCGATGGGGCGCGCCCCGCTGCCTGGTTAGCTGAGCGGCGCCACTCGGGAGAGGGGGGGTGCGTCCGCCGCGCTCGCGGGCGTGTTCTCTGTGGCGAGCCGGGTGCAGAGGTTGCCGAAAGCTCCGAGGGCGGCTGGCTCCGCCAGCAACGCCCGCCAAGCTCGACCGCGGCTCCTGGTGGCGCTGGGCGAGACGAACGCCTGCGGGGCCGCGCACGTCGGCCGTCGCAGTGCCGGCCGAACTCGCCCTTGAGCGGGGCAGAGCGCAAGCGCCGCCAAGCGGCGCCGGCCAGAGGCTTCGGCTGCCCTGGTGTCGAGTGGGCCTGGGGCCCTTGTCTCGGCGTGGAGCGAGCGGTATTCGGTTGCCGCTGGTGGGGCGACCTTCACTTCCATTAGCAATGCAGGGTCCTGAGGGAGGGCGCCGCGCCGAGCAAAACCATGAAAGCCTTTCTGTTCTATGGTTCTGCGCACTTGCTCGTGGTCGGTCGAGCGGCTACCTGCCCCGCCCGCGTGCGAACACAACGGTGTGTTTGTGTTTGTGTGTGTGTTTATGTGTAGGTGTGCGTGCGTCTGTGCGCGTGTGCGCGTGCGTGCGTGCGTGCGTGCGTGCGTGCGTGTGTGTGTGTGTGTGTGTTTATATATGTGTGTGTGTGTTTTTTCATTTCTTTTTGTGTGTGTGTGTTTGTGTGTGTGTGTGTGTGTGTGTGCGTGCGTGCGTGCGTGCGTGCGTGCGTGCGTGCGTGCGTGCGTGCGTGCGTGCGTGCGCGTGTTGTTTTGTGGCAGGAGCTGTCGTGCTTTGTCCCCCCCCGGGGCCCGAAAGGAACCCAGAGGCTGCAGCCGCCGCGGAGAAGTGCCCGCC